ATAAAACCACCCTGATATCAAGGATAAGGCACTATTCTTCTCTTTTTTCCTCCCGGTTACACGAGGAGCAATAGGGAGAAAAAGCAGAGGTCCTCAGCTGAAGATACAAGCCCAATATAGGATCTATCCACAGCCTAATCCATAGGAGCAAGGAGGATAATTATACAGCTTGCCTTTCCACAGAGGAACTGACCTAGCAATTGATTGCAGACAAGGGTATCAAGTCTAGCAAAAGGTCCAACAATTGCAGGGATTTCACTCTGAGGGGACTTGGTGAACTTTATTGATTACTGCGATATAATAGTAGAAAATGTATAAATACATGAATTGATCTATATTTAATAATTTATTTTAGAAATGGTATCAATTCCCTTTTTTATGTACTTATAAATTGATTTACATGCATTTTTTATGTATTTATAAATTGATTTACATTTATTTTTAAAATCGCATAAATTCACATTTTTTTATTTTTGAGATTTTTTACAGATTAATATACTTTTTACAGATTAATATATTGATTTTAGAGGGAGATCAATTATTTATTGAGAGTTTTTTGGTTTTTTTTCTCTTTTCTTTTTTTTCCTCTTCTTCTTTACAAAATTTTCATAGAAATATTATGTTTGTTAATTGAGTATTGATCATATTCATATATATCTTCATTCAAATGCTGTATTGATTATATTTGTATATTCTTATTCCAATATAAGAGCGTGGCACCTTTCATTTTAAAAATATGTTGGAAGACCCAGCCACGTTTCATCTTCAATGCCCTTGCTGATGGAATGAGGTTTGCACTCAAACTCTCACAATACATGGCCCCATTCATTCAGTCCTGTACATGGATCAGTCATCCTGGTCCCTTTGCGGAGAAACAGCCCCAAAGCATGATGTTGCCACCCCCATGCTTCACAGTAGGTATGGTGTTCTTTGGATGCAACTCAGCATTCTCTCTTCTCCAAACACGACGAGTTGTGTTTCTACCAAACAGTTCTATTTTGGTTTCAACTGACCATATGACATTCTTCCAATCCTCTTCTGGATCATCCAAATGCTCTCTAGCAAACTTCAGATGGCCCCAGACATGTACTGGCTTAAGCAGGGGGACACGTCTGGCACTGCAGGATCTGAGTCCCTGGTGGCGTAGTGTTACTGATGGTAGCCTTTGTTACGTTTGTCCCAGCTCTCTTCAGGTCATTCACTAGGTCCCCCCATGTGGTCCTGGGATTTTTTCTCACTATTCTTGTGATCATTTTGACCCCACGGGGTGAGATCTTGCATGGAGCCCCAGATCGAGGGACATTATCAGTGGTCTTGTATGTCTTCCATTTTCTAATTATTGCTCCCACAGTTGATTTGTTCACACCAAGCTGCTTGCCTATTGCAGATTCAGTCTTCCCAGCCTGGTGCAGGTCTACAATTTTGTTTCTGGTGTCCTTCAACAGCTCTTTGATCTTCACCATAGTGGAGTTTGGAGTGTGACTGTTTGAGGTTGTGGACAGGTGTCTTTTATACTGATAACAAGTAAAAGGTCCAACAACTGCCATTGATACAGGTAATGAGTGCAGGACAGAGGAGCCTCTTAAAGAAGAAGGTACAGGTCTGTGAAAGCCAGAAATCTTGCTTGTTTGTAGGTGACCAAATACTTATTTTCCACCATAATTTGCAAATAAATTCTTTCCAAATCAGCCAATGTGATTGTCTGGATTTTTTTTCTCATTTTGTCTCTCATAGTTGAGGTCTACTTATGATGCCAAATACAGGCCTCTGATCTTTTTAAGTGGGAGAACTTGCACAATTGGTGGCTGACTAAATACTTTTTTGCCCCACTGTATATCTCAAGTTGTCTGCTGTAGATCTCCTTCAGTACAGAATCAGCGCAATGGAGAACAGTCATGTGCTAGGAGAAAACAATTAATAATTCCTTGTCATGATTTTATAAGTTTGGTGTGGAGGAACTCGAATGACCAGCGCAGCATTCTGAATTCTATTTAACAGTCATTTGTATGTTCTGCGGGACTATGGGCTGAACCACAGATGTATCAGATGATGGGCACAAGGTGCGAGCGAAGGACTGTGGAGGTGGTAGAGTCAGTGGTATCCTGAGTCGTGTGCCTCAGTTGGTTCTTTTGTGCACTATTGATCTCTTATCATTTGGAGAACCTTACTGTGTGGGCAGATCAGCGTTGGTTGAGGATGCATTGAAAAATCTCATATCCTGCTGCAAGAAATGTGTAAATTTTATTAAAATGGTTGTAAAACATTCTCCGCATGAAGATAAAAAACCTTGAATGCAGCTCCCCCTCCCCTAGCACCCCCTTATACTTACCTGAGTCCAATCTAGATCCAGCACTATGCATGAGAGTAGCAGCTCTCTCCCTCCACATAGGCTCAGAGACAGCAGTGGGAGCCATTGGTAGGAGTGGATACTTGTACAGAGCCCATTCCGGAGAAAGGCCTAAGGTGCTGCAAACTGCCCAGGGAAAGGGGATACGTATCGGTTTGTGACCAGACCAGGCTGATCCTGTCCTGAAGGAGTTCTCCGGCAGACAACTTGAGATATACATATATGCGCATAACGGTTTCGCATCTGGTGAGTGCATATTCCTAACATATTCATGGCACATCACCTGGATGACGTAAAGAGCACCTACCTGAGCTCCTTTCAGATGGATCTTCACATTTAAGCACCTTTATGAACTGTTTTATACTGTGTATGTGAATTGACACCCAGCACTATTAAGTGCACACCAACATCACTTATTAGGTGTGCACATTTTCACTTTTGTCACTATCTCCAGGTATGTGATCTAGTGCAATCCATATGATAATTTTATGTATATATATATTGGATCTTTGATATTTGTTGCTCTAGCGCCGCACCTTTCTGTCTTTGATTATTTGGAGATTTTTTTGGTTTGCCTTTTTGGTGCTTTGGCTGTTTGTTTTAGCACTCACTTATTTTATTATTTTGTTCAATCTATGCCATGAAGACTTAAGGCAGTTCTGAAAGCAAACGTGGGTCCAACCCAGTACTAGCAAGGTGTACCTAATAAAGTGGTCGATGAGAGTGTGTGTATGTGTATTCATTTTAAATATTTTCTTTATTTTTTAATGTGATCACATAATTTCTTTTCTCAGCTGCATAAAGGGCTTGGAGAGGTAGTGGTGGAGAAACAGCAGACACTGATCTTCCCAGTAATTAACTGTGCAGAGAGCGTGTCAGCCAAAGTCTGACCATTAGAGGACAGGCAGGCTGTTCTCCCAGCACAGCCAGAAAACTGGCCACACTGAGATAGTTGTGTCCCATGGATAGCATGGTCAGTTTCAAATAGGAAATCAGGGGGACTGGCAGGATCACCAGGTATTTCACACAAAGGAAGCAATACAAAGAGAACAGAATACGTTTTAACACAAGTACATGGTATAACATACACACATCACACCGGAAGTGATGTCAGTGGAGTGCAGGAAAGCCAACGACAGTCATCATGAGCCCTCAGCAGGAAGGAGACTTGCCAAAACAAATCCCAGTTACCATGACAACCATGACAACGCATTTTGCATGAATCAGAGTCACAGATCTGTGACACATGTTGAGGCATGTGGCTTGGTACTGTTCGGGGGGGGGGGGGGGGGGGGGGGGGGGTGGGGTGCTCGCTTGCCTACCCTTTCCTGACCTGTCAGGCTGCATGCTCGGATAAGGGTCTGGTATGGATTTTGGGGGGGTACCCCACAAGGTTTTATTGTATAATTTTGGCATGCGGTTCCCCTAAAATCCACACCAGAATTGCCAGCATTCTTTTATTTACATTTAACTGTCAGAGGGGAAACCACTGACAGCTGATGAGTCATTGGTTGTTAAGGACATGGCAGCTGGCTTTCCGGCCCTCTCTTTAGCAACCAGCTATTCTTTACACAGGATTCAATCAATCAATTGTCAACTGATTTGAATTCCATTTGTTTTGAAAATTAGGATTTTATTAGGAATTCAATAAATGAAACGAAATCTAACAAAAAAAACTGATTTTCCAATTGGTAAAAAAAAATTGCAAAGTTGCATGGCAAAGTCATGTATTAAGTCATACTCAAGTAACATTGAGTCACCAACAAATCGCCAGGAAGTCGCCTGGCAAAGTCACACTGTAAAGTAATCATTGGAGTTTGTTATAGGCCTCCCAGTGTTAATGAAGAGGTGGAGACTCAGCTCCTTGCACAGACTGAAAGAGCTGCAAGGACTGGGACAATGATGATAATGGGGGATTTTAACTACCCAGAAATTGACTGGAATAATGATACTGCAGCAACAGTTAAAGGGCAAAAATTTTTAAACCTACTACAGGACAATTTTATGGTACATTTCATAGAGGCCCCAACTAGGAATGATGCTCTGCTGGACCTGGTAATCTCAAACCATGCAGAGCTTATTACAAATGTCCATATAAAAGAATATCTGGGTAGCAGTGATCATAACATGATTTCATTTATTGTTAACAGCAAGCACATACGGGAAAAATAAAAACGCTCAATTTTAAGAGGTACTTTTTCCAAGACTGAGAGCTGCTCTCCAAGACTTAGACTGGGAGGGAATATTGGCATCAATGATGGCATACACCCAGGGGCCCTTAAAGAATTGAGCTCTGTCAGTTCAAAGCCATTGTTTCAAATTTTTAGGGACTCTTTAATGACTGGCATAGTACCACTGGATTGGCGTAAGGCCAATGTGGTGCCTATATTTAAAAGGGGTCAAAATCTTTACCAAGTAATTATAGACCTGTTAGTTTAACTTCTATAGTTGGGAAGATACTGGAAAGTTTAATAAAAGACCACATAGATGAGTTCTTGCTGGCAAAAAATATTTTAACCACCTCCCGCCCGCCATATAGTAATATAACGGGCGCAAGGTGGTTTTCTCGTTCTGGGAGGATGTCATATGACGTCCTCCCATTCTCACTGCGCATGCGCGGCTCATGGAGCACGCAGCGCGGCGATCGACTGTGTGCTGTGTCCCTCAGACACAGCGGATCACCGATCACGGAAAGAGCCGAAGATGTCGGCTCGGTCATGTGATCAGCTGTGTTCAATCACAGCTGATCACATGTAAACAGAAAAATGTCGGTTATCTGCATTTCTCTCCTCTCGAGCTGTCACGCTGACAGCTCGAGAGGAGAGGCGGTAATTGGCTTTCCGCGGAGGGGACATGTACACTGATCATCAGGGCACTGATGATTATTGTGCCCTGATGATAAGTGTAGCCCCAGCAGTGCCACCTGTCAGTGTCCATCAGTGCCTTATGTCAGTGCCTCGTGCCAGTGCCCATCAGTGCCACATCAGTGCCCATCTGAGCTGCCTTTCAGTGTCACCCATCAGTGCCAGTCAGTGCCACCTATCATTGCCAGTCAGCGCCACCTATCAGTGCTGCCAATCCGTGCCGCCTATCAGTGCCAGTTCGTGCTGCCTATCAGTGCGCATCAGTGCCGCCTATCAGTGCCTGTCGGTGCCTCCTATTAGTGCCAGTCAGTGCCGCCTATTAGTGCCAGTCAGTGCCGCCTATCAGTGCAATGTATCAGTGCTGCCTTTCAGTGCCCATCAGTGATGCCTGTCAATGCCCATCAGTGCCACCTACCAGTGCCTCCTCATCACTGCCCATCACTGCCCATCAGTGCCACCTATCAGTGTCCATCAGTGCCCATCAGTGCAGCCCCATTAGCGCACATCAGTGAAGGAGAAAAATCACTTATTTACAAAATTTTATAACAAAAACTAATTTTTCAAAATTTTCAGCGGTTTTTGGTTTAAGAAAAAACCCAGAGGTTATTAAATACCACCAAAATAAAGCTCTATCTGTTACAAAAAAATGATAAAAAATTCATATGGGTACAGTGTTTGACCGTGCAATTGTCATTCAAAGTGCGACAGCACTGAGAGCTGGAAATTGGCCTGGGCAGGAAGGGGGTAGAAGTGCCCTGTAGGCTAGCGGTTAAACAACAGACAGCATAGATTCATGAAAGACAGAAGTTGTCAAACAAATCTGATTTCTTTTTATGAGGAGGTGAGCAAAACCTTGGACAAAGGGGTGGCGGTGGACGTGGTATACTTGGATTTTGCTAAAGTGTTTGACACAGTTCTCCACACACGGCTAATGTGTAAGGTAAAGTCTACGGGCTTGGAAAAATCTGTATGTAAATGGATAGAAAACTGGCTAAAAGATCGTATTCAGAGAGTAGTGGTTATTGATTCATACTCTGAATGGTCTAGGGTTGTCAGTGGTGTACCCCAAGGTTCAGTGTTGGGACCCTAATTTTTTAATATATTTATAAACCATATAGAGATTACAAATCCCATTTCAGTCTTTGCAGATGACACCAAGCTGTGCAGTGGAATAACGTCCTTACAGGATGTCTCCAATTTACAAGCCGACCTCAATGCACTGTTTAATTGGCAACTATGTGGCAAATGAGATTAAATGTAAGGTGATGCACTTCGGGGTTAAGAATATGCATGCATCATACATACTAGGGGGAGTACAACTGGGGGAATCAATGGTGAAGGATCTGGGAGTTCTGGTAGATCACAAGCTTAATAATGGTACGCAATGCCAAGCTGCAGTTTCTAAAGCGAGCAAAATCCTCTCTTGTATTAAAAGAGGTATAGACTCCAGAGAGAAATATCATCATATTACCCCTGTACAAATCATTAGTAAGACCTCATCTGGAATATGCAGTTCAGTTTTGGGCACAAATTCACAAAAAGAACATTGGGGAACTGGAGAAAGTACAGAGAATGGCAACTAAACTGATAAGAGGCATGGAGGAGCTCAGCTATGAGGAAAGATTAGAGGAACTGAATATATTCTCTTGAGAAGAGGAGATTAAGGGGGGATGTGATCAACATGAATAAATACATCCGTGGTTCATATAGTGAACTTGGTGTAGAGTTATTCACCCTGAAGTCATCACAGAGGACAAGGGGGCACTCTACGTCTGGAGAAAAAGAAATGTAATCTCCAAACATGGAAAGGTTTCTTCACAGTAAAAGCGGTGAAAATGTGGAATAGACTCCCTCAAGAGTTGGTTCTGGCCAGCTCAGTGGATTGCTTTAAAAACAGCCTGGATTCTTTCTTAGATACACAGAATATAACTGGATACTGACATTTATAGGTAAAGTTGATCAAGGGAATATACGATTGCCTCTCGGGGGTTCAGAAAGGAATTTTCTTTCCCTCCAGGAGCAAATTGGATCATGCTTTGCTGGGTTTTTTTTTTTTGCCTTAATCTGGATCATCTGTGGGTGTAGGATTATAACTTTTTTTTAATGTTTGAACTGGGTGGACTTTTTTGTCTTTTTTCAGCCAGACTAACTATGACTATGAATAAAGGAAGATAAGCCTATACATTTCAGCCATGGCTTCAGTATCACTGTTTATATCAATTGTTATGTAGCAGGCCACTGTTCACGCATACGTAAATATACCGAATTGTTCGCTTTTCAAATTAGTCAGCCGGAAAATGAAAACTTTGATCTCCATGTACTGCTGCTAATTTGGTATGTATGCATGATTTGTTTTTTCTTCCTCTTTTAATCAGATGGCTGCCAGATGAGTAAGCTTCTACTGTGTTCTCACTTTTAAAGGGAAGTGATACTCATGAATACTCATGCTTTAAAAACTTCTGTCTGGAGCTATTTTATGTTTAAAGGGATAACAACCCTAAAGTACAAACTGCCTTATAAGAAGAACACTTGGCTACCCTTGGAATGTTTATGTCACTATCATAAATGTCATGCCCTTGTCTCCTCTTTTCCTCCCGTTACATCTATCCCCATCAATGAATCGTTCCATACCATGAATTTGGCAAAATAAAATTAGACCCTGCCAAAAGACATATTAGAAATATTCCAAACGTTTTGTACTTTTGTAGGAATTAAAAATGATTCTAACCATATTGACATTAATAAAGATAATGAAATGTATCTCTCTCTCTCTCTCTCTCTCTCTCTCTCTCTCTCTCTCTCTCTCTATATATATATATATATATATAGCATATAGATACAATTTTGTAATGACTAAAATTAGATTAAAGGTAGAACTGAAGGAAAAACTATTTTTTTCATTTTGGATAAAGGGAGGATTACATCCCCTGTCAATTATTTTAGCCATCTGCATCCCATTGGGAAGATTTCTCTTCACTTCCTGTCCTACAGTCATTGAAGGGTTAGGGAATCACTGGCTGTCACCAAAATTAGTCTATGCATTGTAAGATTTTCACTCTACTCCTGTTCTGCTGACAACCCAAAATTTGGTGTTTTCTTTTACTTTCACTCTCATGATAATGGTAAACATGACTAACAGAGAGGGTGAATCTTCCTACCGGAGGCACGGAGCACAAAAAACCTGACAAGTGTTCCAATTTCTTTCTACTCTATCCAAAACAAAAAAAAAAGTTTGCCTTCATTGCCTTTACATTAAGTTGAAATATATACAGCAAAACAAATTGGAAACCTAATTTTCCGATCTTACAGATATCTTGTCCTCTAAGCCATTTACTGCTTTACTGAGTAGAGTAGAGATGCTCCATCCAGCACTGTTTTTACCCACATGATTGGAAGCCCCCATTCAGATCTGAGCACTTTGTTGCATGATTCTTGAAGTGCAACAACACTAATGGCTGATACACACTACGAGTTTTTTTTTTTTTTTTGTTCAACCCAGTGGGCTGAGCGAAAAAAAAACTGAAGAGCTTGGGAGGAGCTTGCTGTATTAGTTAGTACAGCGATCTTTGCACTGAGCTATTGTGTTCTGACATGGGGACTGCCACCTGCCAGAACACACCAGTCAGCGCTTGCAGCCATTGGCTGCCATTACTGATCGGATGCTGGTTTTCCAGCAAGCCCCTTTGATAGAAGCCGGACGAGTATCCAGCTTCTATCGAACAGGCTGACGTACAGTTGGGCTGCATGTTGGACGGTTTCTGTTTAACCAGTCAATACAGGCCGATATTGGACACGTTTGTACGGGGCTTAAAGATGAAGAATTTAATTATTCTCAACGGGCTCGTTTACACCTGAGCTTCTCATATGGAGTTTGAAAAAGTGTTCAGGCACAATCACGTGTTTTTGGCTTCATAGACTTTAATTGGAGTGCCTGAAAACACTTGAAAATGTGTGTTTGCATGCATTTTTTTTAGGTGCACCCAATAATAGAGTGTATAAATGCGCAATAAAAGAAAGCGTTGTTAGCACATGCTTGCAGCAGGTTTCAGTTTCCCTAACATTCTGGCACCCATCTCTGCCTCCTGCACTTGGCAGGAGAACTAATCAAAGGGCTTGGAAAGTTTGCAGCACTGGAATATAGGCACAGTATGGCAGCTGGGGAAAGGACATGTCAGTAAACTATTGTGGTGCTATGGATTTAGAATACAGCAGATTATGATGAAACAGAACCCATGCCAACAGTTTTTTGCCAGGGTCCTACAAAGGAGTTCTGGCTCTACTGCCAATGGAGTCCCTGGATGGATAGCCAAACCTAGCATAAGCTATTAGGTCTAGGTCTGTTACCTCAACACTCAACACAAATATAATGTCTTTAAGGTGAAATTGCTTAGCACTATCATTGACATTAATGGATCATCACTTTCATTTCATGTAAGAACCCTTCCAAATACATATAAACAACTGCAGTATGTGCAAACTACTCAAGTACTTGTACAACAGGCTTCATGTATGAAAATGGCTTATAAATGACAGAGAATGAAAGCTTAAAACTGGTCAGCAACAGCATAGAGTCAAAGGTTAGTGCAACAATGGTGTCATTTGTTGGTTTATACACGTCTTTGCAAGAGAGGGCTAAATAAAACTGTAATGTCCCTTAGGCCTTTTCTCATGGGTATACTAATCAGGTACAATTGTCAGTTTTTTAGCTAGATCTGATTGGAGCCCTGTGGACAGACAGGTGTCTGTTTACACTCTCTTACCTCCTGGTCTGACAAGGTCAAGCAAAAAAAAAAAAAAAGGAAAAGGACGCAGACCAGATCAGGGGTAGCCTAATGTAAAACAGACATCGGAGTTAATTTACACCCGGCTGCCCATAGAGCTCAAAGGGGACTTCCCATGTCTGCTCTGCATAAACTGAACGGGCATGGATATGACATTTGTCCTGTTTGGCTCCAATCCTGGGACAGAAGCCTTAAGGCCCCTTTCACACAGGCATTCCAATCAGGTTCACCTGTCAGTTTTTCAGGTGAACCTGATCGGAAGGTCTATGGAGCCCTATGGACAGGTGGGTGTAAACAGGCTTATGCTTTTTTACACTTGCCTACATGCATTGCAGTGTGTTTTACCAGAAAAAATGCAGCGTTTACGTATTTTTGGGCTGTTAGTGGGTTATGTGGTGTGCTGCATTGAAATTGCCATGCCTTAGTGTGTTGGTGTGCCATGCAATATGAGTGGCACCGCAATGCTCTACTACTTGTAATGTGTGCATTGCTGCAATGCAAAAAAAAT